AACCCCTAAGTGCGTAGGACAGTTCAGTTCGGGTGGGCCCCGGAGAGGGTGTTGGTTGCAGATAAGGCAGCTCGATTTTCTAGTTTTGTTAGGGCATCGCTTGGGCAGCAGATTTAACCTGAGAACCCCTAAGTGCGTAGGACAGTTCAGTTCGGGTGGGCCCCGGAGAGGGTGTTGGTTGCAGATAAGGCAGCTCGATTTTCTAGTTTTGTTAGGGCATCGCTTGGGCAGCAGATTTAAGGTGGTGCCTTTGCACCTCTTCTGAGTGCAGACTTAAGGCTGAACTTCCTGGGGGTCTCAATGTTGTTTCTATCCAATTGCTCTTGCAAGGTCGCAAACCAGAGGAATGGATGTCTGCCCGCACCTTTAAGTGCGTTCTCACCCTGGTGTGTGGGAATTGCCTTAGCTTTTGTTCTTGCAAAGTCAAAGATGGTCGCAAGAGAGGAGCCTTGGGATCCCCGCAGGGATTCAGGGCCACCCCTATTCTTAGAATGTTCTAATTTGGAAGCTCATTCACTTAACATTTTCTAGGAAAATGCATATTGTTTCCAAATTGAATCTGCCTGTTCCGAGCCACTGTATTTTCGCTGGTTTAGAGGGAGCAAATTATGGAAACTTCTGTGCACTGAATGGCTGGCATTGTGGCTTTGAGCTCTTCAATAAATAGGCCGCTCACCTGACAGCTCCCATGGCCGCTGTCAGCAAGGGGAGCAGTTGATGCCAGTCACGGTGTGGGTGCTCATGATGTGAACACCTTCCTATCAGCAGGATTGAGACCCCACCCTCTCCACCAACAGCAGGTGGTTGGTAACCTACAGCCGCCTGAAACGTGACCCAAATACCAGTGGGGGACATGCTCCATCCATAGCCTGCTGGCTGTTCTTTGAGGTGGATTTGCAAAGCCCAGCCTCAGTGATTTGTAGGTGCCCAGGCTTGTGTTTAACTTTGTGTGTTTAGGGCTGCTGAAGGACAGTGACTTGCAGGCGGCCGTGGAAGTGCTGCAGCGCTATGACTTGCACTCTGTCCTGGAAGAATGGTTCACTGAAGTTTTACAGACAGACTTGCAGGCCAATATAGCTCCTGAATTCTGGAATTGTATTGGCCAGTATGAAAACACGGCGGAAGAGCCACAGTGCTCCTTGCTTCTCCTGGATGCCTTTTGTCTGCTCAAGTGCCGCCTCGACCCTTATCTGAACAGCTTGGACCTTCTGGAAAAATGGACCAGAATGGGCTTGCTCCTTGGAACAGGCTCCCAGGTGCTGCGAGAGAAAGTCTACACCATGTTCAAAGCCATCCTTTTCTTCACCACCACCGAGACGTTCCAGGAGATGATCCAGCAGTTCTACAGCCGCACCTTCAAGATTTACATGCGCCAGGGGAAGAAGGGTGAAGGCGGAGTGAAGGCGTGCGAGAGCAGCATGAGTGAGAACGAGCCAGAGAGCGATCCGGAGGACGGAGGAGACGGCCGGCAGTGCCTGGGCTGCAGCAGTAAGAGAGAGCAGTGCTGGTGTCCCACAGCCATGGAGCAGTTCCAGCAGCTCAGTGAAATCCTGTGCGTATCTTACAGCAAGGTGGCGAGTTGTAGGGGCCTGCGCTCCCCCCCTCCCCCTCGCGTTTGCTGGCTCAGGTCTCCCTGAGTTCCGCCACCCTATGCTTGCCCCCCAGCCCCGCCTGCTGTCCCTGGGTGATTTTAAATGCCTTGGGGGGGCCCCCACTGCAAGCAGCGCACAGAGACCCACTCTTCTCCCCCCACCCTCCCAGGCCCCTCGGAGGTGCTGGCAGCCACGCAGGGTGAGAGGCAGGAAGCCTCTCTAGCCCCGCTGCACTGTTGATGGGGGCTTCCAGGGTGTGTTAATTCACCTAGGGGCAGCAGGAGGAACCAAAGGATGCGCAGGGCGGAAGGCATGTGAGTGGCAGGTGGGGCGGGAAGAGGAGTGGGAGCAGCACCGTGCACTAGGAGCTGCTGCCAGAGGGTGGTGCCTCCCAGGTAAACATGGCACCCTTTACCCTGGTGCTGCCCCCAAGCTCCAAACTGCCTCCCAGA